ATTAACAAAATAAATGAACGAAATAAATTTTTTCTCAAAAATTGATTAGAATGAGAATTTAAATTATTTTCTTGTTTTTCTATTTCAATGGCTTCTCTGATAATTCGTTTCCTCTTGTTTTCGACATTCGCTAACATTACCGTATGTTTGAGGTCAATTTTGTGTCCTGTAGCTAAAGAATGCTGGGCTAGGGATGACGTCGTTTCTTTTCGTTCGATGGCATTGCGATGTTCTTCTTGTCTTACTTGGATCCTTCTATTTGTCTGTCCAATATAGACTCTATCGCATTCTCCACAGGGAATTTTGTATACTCCTTGGTTTTACCAAGGGTTTATATATATATATATATATATATATATATATATATATATATATATATATATATATATATATATGTTTGATGAATTACGTTATGAACGAAGTGATCCTTCAGTGGAATCTTGTACTATAAGTTCTATCATGAAACATTTCATGATGTACAGAAAACACTCATTTTTTTATTATTATGTTTGAATATCTTTATTTATTTGAATTCCCGCGTAATGTTTATCGCCACAGTAACCATTTTGCTCCGCCTTATCGATCAAATAAGAAGTTATTTTGGTTTGGTGCCGAAAGTTTAATGTAAATAACAAACATGGATTTAACATTTCCTTATCAGAAAAAAAGAAGTGAATTCGGAAGACAATGTGTTTTTTCCGACAAAGGACCTGATCTGATAGATAATTTTCCGGCTAACCGAAAGCTTCAAAAGGAGTTTATCTTAAAGTAATAATAATAAGAGTAAATATACTTATATGTTATTTATTTTTAAAGTTAATATTACCAGGAGAAAAATTATATTATATTACGTCTGAAAAAAACAGACTTATTAGAAATAGAAAAATCTTTCCTACATATAATGGTAATAATAATGGTAATTACTTATTAGGTATATCATATAAAGGAAAACTGATAGTCTCATTTGGATTTTCTATGTTGTATTTTCTATGTTTTTATTATTTCTCTTTTTAACAGTACCAGTTCAAAAGTACCTATCCGGATCTGTTTCATCACCAAAATTTTTCATATTTTTTCACAGATTAATGCAAAGTTTAGATCTACATTCTTAAAAGAGGTGATTTTCTAAATCCTTGTTTACTTCGTTGATGTCAATGAAGTGAACTAACTTACACTAACTTTGGCAACTCTTGGTAAGCCAACTGATTTGAAATTACCGCTCTGTTAGGTCAAGCTCTATGAAATGTCACATTTGTTTTTCGGGTAGATAGGGGAGGACGGAATAATGGCGTCACCTTAAGAGATCATAATTTTTTTTTGGCTTAATTTTGAGATCAAAGAAATATAAAACTATGCTAGTGATCTAAGATCTAAGTTTTTAAACTAAGTTAGTTTTCAGAAATTTTTCATTCACCTTGATTAAGCGACAATAAACACAACACTTTTTTGTGTAACTTGACGGCATTGCCCCAGGTCTAGGGGGTAATGGCGCCACCTACTGAACTGAAATGATGGATCAGACTTATCTATAAAACATGTTCTAAGCAATTATCTTTATTGAAATTTTATTTGGAAACATAAAAAAATAACAGTATAATGAATGATAAATGAAAGCATAATCTAAAAGAACTTACTATTATATTCACAGAAGTCACAAACATAATTTTTGGCACTGTCTTTTCCACTGCGATACCAAAGTTTAGTGTCTCCAAATTCTCCAGAAATTAAACATTTCTCCTCATCGACAAATACAGCGGGTAGGGAGATATCATCATTTAAATCATTATCACAAAGTTTGTCATCATCAAAATCTTTTAACGATGTTTCATCAAAATAGAATTTTGGTCTGATAGTTTTCTTCATTTTCTTTGTTTTTATTCGTAGAAAGCTCGTCTTCAGATATAAACGTCCTTCTGTGTTGTTTCAATTTTTTTTTATTTTTTCCCAATATTTTTGTTATTTTTGCAATCTGTAAAATTTCATTTCACTGCTTTCTCTTTTTGCTTCAACTCCCTTTTTTCTTTAGCAGCTTGCAGGATATCTTTTATTGGTGTCGAAGTCAGGATAAAAGAATGTTGCTTTCTATCCTGACCGCTTTGTTTAGGATAGCTGTCCTGTTAGTTGGCATTGGTGAAATGTCGAGAATGCTCTTGTTGAAAAATTTACTTTTCCTGACGATGTGCCCGGTTGACTACGATTAATAATCTCGATAGCAGTAGCAGGACTTCTAGGAGGGTTTTCATTAATAAGTGCCCCATTAGTAGAGGTATCATTGAGTTTTTCAGAATTTTCCTCCTTGTCCTCAGCAATTATTTGCTCTATGACTGAATGAGCAGGAGCAAAATCTTCATCACTAAATTTATCTGGGTAAAACGGAAAAATTCCACATGCTTTGAATCATGCCACTGCATTTTCAAGGGTAGCAAACCTCTATTAAGCTTTGCTGATTATCGGAGCAATATCGTATGGAGTGATTTTTTGATGAAAATTTGTTTTCATAAAGTTATCACACTCCTTATTGAACGCATTCTTAAGAGGCCCATAGAAAGATACGTCTAAGGGCTGAAATATGTGCAAGTAATGGGGTGGAAGCGACACAAAGTGAATGTGGTTTCATGATTATCCATTAATAGAAGGACAGGGTCCTCTTCACTTGACTTAGTGGTTTTCTGGAAATGTTTCAGCCAATCTAAAAAGAAATCTTCGTTGGACCACCCAAAGCTGACATCCGTTTCCTTGGATAAATCAACAATGGGGGCGTATATATTCCTGAAGAGCTTATGGCGCACACTACAGTGATATTCTATCCACGCTCCCAACTCGTAACTCCTCCCACTTGCTTCTATTCTCTTGGTGCAAGAATTTTTCCCGTTTTTTGTACTGTAAAGATTCCAGCTTCGTCCATAATATGGATACGGTTCGGTGAAAAGTTATTCCTAGGCAATACAGTCTCTAAATTTTTTTAAAACAAATCAACTTTGTCTTTATTAAATGCTTTGACCCTGTTGAAGCTAGTAGCTTCCAGTTTTCTTAAACTAATTTTATGCCTGCTGATAAACCCATTTAACCAATATATTCCGGCCAACTTGGTCTCTTTGCTAAAGTTGTGTTTGATTTTATGTTTTTCAGCCAATTCGAAAGCCTTAGTTCATTTGTAGGGATGCCATAAAATAGTTTTGATAGGCTAACCACATGCTATGCTAAGTTTTGTTCGTTCTTGCAATCTCGGCTCACTACCATCGTTTGCCTTTAGCCTATCCACTAATGTTGTTCGGGGTATGCCAAACATTGTAGCTGCTTTTTTTGCGAGATACCATTTTGGTGAACTGCTTCAATAGCATTTTTGAAGTTTTCCTCCTTCCACATAGCCTTTTCATTTCCATTTTAGAAGACTTACAATTTCTTATGAACAAAATCACTTATTATAGTCAACAATATGGACTTAATATAAGCATTAAAAAGACAAAGCTTATGATAATTAGCAAGAAAAGGATAATAGAAGGTCAACTCTACGTCAACCAATCTCCTGTAGAAAGAGTGACGCACTACAACTACCTCGGCACCATAATAAATGAAGAATGGACCAACAACCAGGAGATTAGAGCACGTATCGCAAAAGCTAGATCCACCTTCAATCGGATAGGGGCATTCTTCAACAGTCACAACTTCTCTCTTGATACAAAAGTAAGAATGCTACGATGCTACGTCTTCTCTGTCCTTTTATGTGGTGTTGAATCGTGGACCTTGAACGAAGATATGAGCAAAAAACTGGAAGCATTTGAGATGTGGCTATATCGGAGAATACTTAAGATCCCGTGGACTGACCGAGTCACAAATGAGGAGGTCCTTAGAAGAATGAATAAGAACCGAGAGGTACTGACCACCATTAAATCTCGAAAGTTACAATTCTTCGGACATACTATGCGAAATGAATCCAGATATGCTCTCCTTCAAGCCATCCTGCAAGGAAAAATATTTGGAAAGCGAAGTCCAGGAAAAAGAAGAACATCTTGGTTGAAGAACCTCAGAATCTGGTTCAATACAACATCTGTGCAGCTTTTCCGCGCTGCTACAGATAAGATAAAGATTGCCATGATGATCGCCAACATTCGTAACGGATAGGCACATCAAGAAGAAGAAGACATAGCCTTTTCTGTTGTTCTTTTACGTGATCGTACCATCTGAAAATCACAAAAAATGCGTTGTTCACCTTTCATTTCCATAGGAAAATACGGGGCAATACCGTCATGGCGTCATTACCCCGAAGTAGAGTGACGGAATTACCCCTCGAGAACAACATGGTGGATATCTCACTACATACTACAAACAATAACCAAACATTTAAAAGCAATCTCACCGAAAAGTATCTAAGGTATCATATTATTAAAAGACTTTTCAACAATTAAGCACCAGTTAAGAACCTTATTATCACACTTACCTCGAGTTATAAATACGGCAGAAGTAAGTAGAAATATGAAACTATAATGGTTTTACTGATATTCGCACCTTTAAAGCGGCAATAGCTGAACTAATCAAAGCACGCTCAATCGGAAGCTATGTCTCAGCTTTCTCCCCGAATTGCCCCGTATGACGGTATTACCCCGTCCTCCCCTACACTCGTATTCGTATGATTCCACTCATAGTAATTAACACACTAAATATAAACTACTATAATATCTTTGTATTAATATTATCTGTGCTAACTTTGGAAATTTGTCATCCATATTAGATATAATGTTTTCGCTCTACACTAAAGCTTTTTTAACATGTCTTAGAACTCTGTTTTACTTTTAGAAACCTAACTTGAATTAATGCTAGGTTTAAAGCTCTACTTCCTCCAAATCAAAGTGTAATCGTTAATGAAGGTAAATTGTGCCTTCAATTTTGTTTCTAGAATTCCCACTCACAACATTCGGTCATTAATTTTTATATTGATTAGGGATCCGGTCTCAAGAGCTCAACAATGTACTCCGTGTCAGTCAGAACATTATCTCAACACCATGAGGGCCGAATTCACCAACAGCAGCCTCAACCATTTCGAAGGCGGTTGGCCGAAAGACATCAATCTCACCGACGAGGAACAGACGAAGAGGTACAGAAGGAAGATAGAGAAAGACGAACAATTCTACCACGTCATGATGGCTCTTTTCAAAGTATGTATACTTAATATTAATGATTTTTCAATAAAATTTGAATAATTTTTTACTATATAATGAATTTTTTAATTGGTTGTTGTAGACATGACTCTGTTGTGATGTCTGTTTTTCAATGTCCCTCCAGCAAGTTATCATTCCATCGTTTTCGTAGTCTTTCTACTGATCATCTTTCTATTGGGGAATCCTCTCTTGCCGTCTTCACTACTTTATTTGTTGTCATTGGACTTGTATGATCGTTTCATTCTACTCTTCTATTTCTTACGTATTCCTTGATGTTCTTAACCTTTCATCTATGTCGTATATCTGTACTTCTAACTCTGTCCCATAGTGTTTTATCATCAATTGTATTGTCAAATGTTTTCATCTCTGCTGTTTCTAATATCTTTTTAGTCCTTTCATCTCTATCTTCCTTTATTAGTTATAACATGATCTATCATAGATCTTTGTCCACGGGTGTTATTAAATATGTATATTTGTGTTGGTCTTTGTGGTCAAAAAATGTGTTGTTTACTCTTAGTTCGTTATTCGTGCAGAAGTTGATCATCAGTTCTCTATTTTCGTTCTTAACATTCGTTTTTAACATTATGTTTTTGTTTAATGCCAGGTATTACTTGATTGTCTATTCGAGCTTTAAAATCCCCTAATATTATCATCTTTCTTCTGACTTGATCTACTACTTGTTGTAGTTGGTCGTAAAACGCTTCCCTTGTTGTTTGATGCTTATTATTTTCTGGGCCGTAAACTCCGATGACGTTCAGGTCTTCCTTCTCCATTTTTATCTCTTCTTCTTTAAGTTCCATCTTCTATCGAAGGTTGGAAATCATCATGGCTATGCGGACTCTGTTGACTGCCGCTCTAAAAAGTTCTGCACTACTGCATTCAAACCATTCCCTTAAGTTCTTAAGCCAGGATATTCTTCGTCTTTCCACATTTCGCTTTCCTCGGATTTTGCCCTGCATAATAAGTTGTAATAATGAGTATTTTTGCCCTGTCATCACATGTCCCAAGTACTCTATTTTTATCTCTGCTGTTACTATTCTTTCTGATATATATTGACACTCTTTGATGTGATTTCGGTGCCTTTAGTGTATTAGTAAGGCTACACCTTATTGGTGTAGTAAGGCCCTAGTTTCTTTTGCTACTCCACTGTAGATTAGTATGAATTCACCTAATTTTTGATTGGCCCGTTTCTTTCTTTTTTGTTTCCTGTAGAGCACAAATGTCTATTTCTTTTCGTTTCAGCACTATATTTCTTGGTCCCTTGAGTTGAGTGATCTGATATTCCCAGTAGTGATTCTTATCTGATTTTTGAATGTTTTTCGCTTGTCTTTATTTCTTGTCGTAGTCGTCATCACAGTATCAATCCGGTTCTGAGGCTGTACATTGTTTCTTTGGGCAGCTTTTGTTTTTTACGATTGGTAGGTTAACTAACCTTACCAATCACCCTCCACATTTTATCCAAACTCTTAAGACAATTAAAGAGAAATCACTCATCTAGGTTCTATCTTCATACACTCTCTACGGTTATACTGTGGATCTGATTTATTGTAAAGTGATTTTTTGTGTATGTGATGACAACATATCACTTTCCTTGTTTTTGAAGTTAAACCGATTTCTGAAATTGTCCAGGTCTTATGTTAAAACCTGTTCTGTAACTGATTGCAGTAGGTACGTTACGTTTACATAATTAGCAGGAACAAATTTACAAATATTCTAAAAATTCTTTATATTTAAATAAATATATCGTTTGAAACTGTGTTATTAAATTATCTCTCATATTTACAAGTATTCGTTGTGACTAATTATTTTATTTTTATAATTTATGTTTATAACATTATAAATGCAGTTTTGTTATTATTTTATAGTTAGCATTAGTTATCATGCTCGTTTCATATTTTTCTATTTTAATTTTCTACTAATTCAGTTCAATTCCCCTTTACTCTTTGTATAACTCTCGTATATGTTATTACATTTTAAACATATAATTATATTATATTGCTAATACTGTTGTCATCTCTTAACGAGTTTTTCCGCTTTTTGGTAGACAATAAAAAGTAGGGTTTTGATTAAATATTTTATTTTTTATTGTAATTCAAAACCAATCTCTTGGAGTTATTAATATTTTTATTGTTCTTTTGCTGTTGAATTTTCATGTTTTTGTTCTTGTTTTTGCGAATAAGTTTTTTATATTTTAATATTAGATATAACCTATACTCACATGGTTTTTGAATTTTGCAAGTAATTTTTGTTTTTGCTAATTCTAAATGTAAAATTTATTTTTTTTGTGAATTCTGCAACCGCAAAGCAGGAACATTTCCAATTAAGAACACTTCAGTTCAGCATTGACATGTAAGAACACTTTAAATCTTCAAATTTAACATCACGTAGAAAAGAGTCACTTGCAGGATGAAGACATGAAATAGCTAAGAAGCATTCACTTGTAGGATCAATACATGAAATAGTGTCAAAGACGCTTATAGAAAAATTTTTCACTGTTATTTTTGAAAGTCGGCAAAGGTTGATCGCACGTTATGAAAAAGAATGAGAGGGTGAATCTAGATTTTAGTACCACTAAGGAGCGGTTATGTAAGCGCAATTTTGGCTTTTGAAAGATAAAAGAGTGGGACAACAAATACAACAGATATTTTTATATGTAGATGCCGCGTGGCCGTAGAATAGGACTAATTTTTGGGTTTTATAACATTTTTTAAATAAAATAATAATATTTTAACTTTTAATAAATGAATCCTTTTAGAAAAATAATATGGTTCAAATTTTTAATTTAAATATGTACAAATCTACAAATACAGTTAAAACTCTCTTCTTATAAACTATAAATAAAATTAATTCAATCAATAAAGTCATCAATCACCGGAATTAAATATTTCCAAAGTTTCTAAATTTAATTATTTCTTCTTCTTTATTTTAAATATAATATAACATAAAATGTAAAACACAACACTGTTTTTTCTGCAGAATATATTTAATTTGGTACATTTCGCCTAATTCATATTTCTTAGAGGAAAATAATTAAAATAACTATTTCTTTTTGCAAACTATTTATATTCCAAACATTTTTATTTCAAGTATTATTGTTCTTCGGATGCTTTTAAAATGTTATTATATACCAACTATATACCTAATTCCATTCAAGAGTGTATTATTAAGTACATCTGGTCAGCAGACGAATCTTTTCTCATTTTACCTCTCGTTCACTGACAAAGAATATAGTTTCATGTATTCTTTGATATTTATTTTAAAACCTTATTTTGTCAGTAAAAATCGTACAAGTGTAAGTGGAAAATTGTCCAAATAGTTTAATGAAAAGTCCTAAGAAATTTTTGGTTGAAAAATTTTGAAATTTTTTAAAAATGTTTCGTTAATTTTTGGGCGGAAAAAAGTATAATAAAAATTTATGTGACGGTTTTTCGTTGTGTTGGAACAAACCTATTTTTAATTCAAAGTTATAAAATTAAAAAAAAAAAGGTTTGAAAATTGTAAATACCATACCTTTTTGAGTTTCAAAATTAAAAATTTAACAATTTAGTATATTAAAAATAAAGATTTTATTGTGAAAAAAAAAACAAAAAAAAAAGCATCGAAATTTGTTTAGGCGTAGATGCAAAGTTAAATAAATAGCTCCGTTCGTACTCCCACTTCCCCCTAACTACATCTTTCGTGATAGTTTTAAGCCTACTTAGGAGTGTTTTGAAATATAAACCGTAACCAAATCGCCCATTTGAACTGTTCTTCTATAAGCCTACCTTTGATAATATATTATACCCTCTAATGAAATGTTGCATAATGGGTTGCATAATTAATAGGAAGAAATTTCCAAAGAAAAAAGAAAAGTATTTTTATTATTTATTATTAATTTTTATTACATATAAGCAAGGACAGTGTGACTAGTGCCGATTATACCTAACAAAAGAAAAATAACATAAATAACCTGCTGGTATATACAATGGAAAGTACAAATTTATTATAAATGAAAAAAAACCTGTTTATTGTAGTGTTTTTATTATAATAGAAACGTCTACCTCCTACAAAATTAGTCTAGATACTACGTTGGACGATTAGCGTACTCAAGAATCGGTCTTACATAAATAGTGCAAAGTTTACGGAAGCACCGCATCAACAATGTTGAAAAACACCTCCGAATAAGATAACGGGATGCACGACATGATCTGAGCGTGATAGGATAATTCGCGATTTGGCTGTTGGACTGTTGGAAAATGGAAGAAAAACAACTTAAAATAATCTGCTATGCAGACGATGCAATACTACCTACTCTCTCAAAGTGAAGATGATTTACAGCGTATGCTGCACCAATTTAATATAACCGCCAGAAAATTTAACATGTTAATTTCCCCAAAAAAAGACAGAATGCATGGTTAAAATAGCAAATTTACTAACATATAAATTGGAACTGGAAGGCCAGATAATATAGAACAAGTGATGGAGTTTGAGATAGTAGACAAGATAGACTAGATAAACAAGAGATGATAGAACAACCGAAGTGGAAGATCAAGTGAATAGAGCAAACAGAGCAGCAGGATGCCTAAATGAAACAATATGAAGAAATAAAAATATCGGGAAAGAAACGAAAGGCAGAATTTACAAAACAGTCATTAGAACAATAATGACATACACGGCAGAAACAACACATGATACAGAGAGGACAAAAAGGATGTTAGAAAAAGCAGAGATGAAAACACTATGGGACAGAGCTAGAAGTACAGATATACGACGTAGATGCAAGGTGGAGAACATCAAGAACTGGGTAAGAAATAGAAGAGTAGAAGGACACCATTATATAACCCGAATGACAACAAATAGAGTAGTAAAGACGGCAAGAGACGGTTTCCCAATAGAAAGACGATCAGTAGGAAGACCACGAAAAGCATGGAATGACAACTTATTGGAGGCACATTGAAAAACAGACACAGTTATGTTTATATAAAAAAAGAAGAAGAAGAAAAAGAAGAATTTGAGCAAGGTATGACGTGTCAGCTGAAATTATAAAATATTTCCAAAGTAGTATATTGCAATGATCAAAGTAAAATATGAAAAGAGCAGACTCAGCAATGAAAGTTATTATCTAAAGTTCCATAAGAAAATTCACTATAGGACCAGTTATGAACCCGTGTGATATAACCAACCATAACCCGTGTGATATAACTAACCAATTCAACGAAATGTAGACGATTGTATCTAGTTGTAACAGCCGAATGGTGAAAAATTTATTTAAAAAAAAAATTATGTATTATTTAAAAAGTCTTTACTATCGAGTAAAGCACTATATTTTATTCACGGCATAACTTTTTTCATCTTCTATTTAAAAACTAACTATATTAATATCTCTGATTAAATTTTCTTATTCCTAGAATATGGAGAGCTGTATTTTACAAAACAACGCTGTGAACATCTATCAACAGTACTTCTCCGACGTGGAATCGACACCTTTGGTCGAACGAAGCTCTGCAAGAACTGTAAATGTATATCAAGACCAGAGTACCCCTAATAGACCCGTGACGCACATATCTTGGTCTCCAGATAACCAAACCAAACTGGCCATATCTCACTGTAATTTAGTATTTCAAGCTGTTGTTGCGAAACAAGCACACGTGTCGTACATCTGGGAAGTTGGTATGTTGATAGACATAAAAAGTATGTTTGAATCATGATTCAAAGAATAACAGATATGATATTGCGCAGGCCATTGTTAGCAGATCCCCTAGTCTTGACGTCCCAATGAGAGTTGCCGTCATTGTAATATATCTGTTTGTAATGGGAACGTTATTATTTTTTTAGCTTTTAGCTTCTTTGGTAAGCTTGTTGTAGATTGTATGGTGTTTTGTGAGAGTTAAGTTGATTTATAGGCTTTTTAGTGTAATAAAATTATTAATAGGAATATTTTGAACTCCTTATGCTAGTTTATAAGTGATAGTCGCTTTGTAGGTATACCTACTTTGTACTTTATATAGACAATATTTTGGTATTTAGGAGTTATAAATAAGATATGTTTAATTATTAAGAAAAATAGTAAAGAGAAACCAAGCTTACTTTTCACTCGCCCATGTGTTCCGTTCCAAAAACACTGGAGATCGAAAATCAAGGTCTTACTTACTTACTCCGTGGCGTTACAACCCTTCGTAGGTTTTAGCCGATTCGACAACATGCCTTCACTGTTTTCTGTCTTGAGCAACCTCCATCCAATTCTCCACGCCCATAGTGCTTAGGTCTCCTGCTACATTATCTCGCCAGCGGAGACGAGGGCGTCCGCGTGGTCTCCTTCCAGTTGGGACTTCTTCCCACACCAGTCTTTCTGTTCGTTCGTCAGAATGTCTTCTGTGTCCTGCCCATTGGAGTCTTCTGGACTTTATTTCTTTTATGATGTTGGCGTCTGGGTAAACTCCTTCGAGCTCTTTGTTAGATATTATCCTATATTGTCCTGATGCTTCATCCAGCACAGGACCAAAGATCTTCCTTAGGATTTTTCTTTCCCAAACACGTAGTCTCTCTTCGTTTGCCTTTGTTATCGTCCACGTTTCACTTCCATACATCACAACGAGTCATATGATTTTTTTATAAACCTGTATCTTCGTACGTCGTGTTAGTTGTTTTGGTTTTATAAGATTTTGGAGGGCAAAAAGACATGTGTTACCGGCCTGAATCCTGTTGTTTATTTCTTGTGATCCGTTATTGTCTTCAGTTATTGTTGTTCCAAGACACTTGAATTCTCTAACGCGCTCAAAGTTAAAGTCATCGATGGTCTGTCTCTGCTTTGGTTATTGCGGCTCATATACATATATTTCGTCTTGTTTTCGTTGATTTGGATCCCCATCTTCTCTACTTCCTTCTCGAACCTCACGAAAGTCTTCTTCATCCTTAATCGTGTGTTTCCTATTAGATCGATATCGTCTGCAAATGCCATTAGTAAGTTTGGTCCTTCTCGATGAAATACTGTATTAAGTTATTCGATTCTTGCACTTCTGATTATGTGCTCCAGAGCTAAGTTGAAGAGTTGTGGTGAAAGTGCATCTCCCTGTTTTAATCCATTGTTTATTTCAAATGTCTCCGAGTATTGTTGTCTAACTATCACCTTACATCGTAACCGTTCCATACACATCCGTATCAACCTGACTAGTTTTTTTGGAAAGCCAAGTTCCTGCATCGCTGTCCACAGTCTGTCTGAAAACTGAAAGTCTTCGAACAAAAAGTCCTGAGGACGATATTTGAACCTATTAACGAAAACGGAGTATGAAGATTTAGGTACAACCATAACACTTTTCAAAGAGACACCGATCTCAAAATTCGTTAAACTTCAGAAATTTCGATGGACTGGTCATGTAGTGAGAATGGAGACCGGAAGTTTGCCAAAAGGAGACCTAGACAGTTAAATGCAGGGCGCATGACCAAAAGAAAGGCCACAAAAAAGGTGGGAGGATGAAGTGGCAGCGGACGCACAAAATTTGATAGACGTGAGAACCTGGAGAAGATCGGAACGAGAGCGGCAAGGTTGGAGGCATAGTTTGGAGGAGGCCAAGGCTCAATTTGAACTGTAGCGCCATTGGAGAGAGAAAGAGAGAAATGTTTAATTATTATTGAGTTAGTACTTAATACTCAACCATACTCATACGCCTCCTGAATTTTTTAGGGACTTTCGCTAGGAATAATTTATAAGCTAAGCATAAAATGCGTCATCTGATAGTTTGAGTGATAATTATCAAAGAGTTGCAGATAAATCTGGTAGATTTTATGGTTTTCTCAAGGACTCAGTAGTGAAAAAACTATGGGTTATTGCTTGTTGCTGTGAAAACCAATTTAATACAAGAACCTTAAGGATTTGTGCAAAACACTTTAAGCCGAAGAACTTTGAAAGAAATTTGGTGCATGAATTGCTGCAATATGATTTAAAGGAAGAACCTAAGCTGAAAGGTAAAGCTGTTCCGTTTTATCTGCCACAATCAAAATGTTTATTTATAAATCAACTCAAAAGGCGGGAAAGGCTTTCCAAAAGAGTCGTTGAGGATTAGGAAACAGATAATTATTCAATCTCTTTTGAACTCGAATGTATTTTAGAATTAAGAAATTAAACCTTAAACCCTTAAATTAAACACCTATAAAAGATATGAGAAATAAGAGAAAGTTAAAAAACCTTGTGTTTTATTTGTTTTGTCGATTTTATTACAGATAACTAATTATCAATTATTTTCATCTGATTACGTGCAACTAGACGAAGGCTGAGAAGGATGAATGAAGAAATAGAAATTTTAAATACAATTAAAACAAGAAATTTGAAATATCTCGGACATATTTCACATGGAGAGAACAGATTATGCAGAGAAAGAGAAATATCTTCTTCTTCTTCTAGTACCGTCTCCACTAATGAAGGTTGGCTCATTGCAAATTCGTCTTTCTTTGTCTTCTGCTTTTCTTAAGAGCGTCTGTTAGTTTAACCCGGTCCAGTCGCGAATGTTTTCCAGCCAAGATATTTGTCGTCTACCAGGACCCCTTTTTCCTTCGATTTTACCCTTTATAATCAACAAAGCGAGGCATAGGGAGGCGTAAAATGTCATGGCTTTGCATGCTGAGAGAATTTTATGGATGTACATCAAATGAACTTTTTAGAGCAGCCGTCTCAAGAGTTCGAATAGTTATGGTGATTGCCGACTTCCGCCGTGGAGATGGCACTTGAAGAAGAAGAAAAAGACGAAGGCTCGATCCCCTCCTTGGGACTGGCGCCAATTAAGACAAGTTAATTAAAAGAGAGCTCGTAAAATTTACGAAGGTTACCTCCCTAGGATTAAAAAGCGAAGAATACAAAAAAAAATTTAATAAAATTCACAAATTTATTTTAAAGATTTGTTTTTGTTCACTGTATTAGATATTAATTTTTTTTCAATCAAAATAATAAAACACCTATATTTTAATGAATCCGAAATAGTTCAATAGAAACTTTATTAATCTATAAAATGCTTTTTATTGCCAATTAAAAATTAATTGTGTTCCGAATGCCGATATTCTTACGAGGAACATTTAAAATCACTCTCATTGTGACGTCATGCGCGAACTCATTCCAATTTCGCACTCGGGAGTATCATACCTGTTATTCTTTGTACCATGTGTTTGAATAAAACTCCTTAGTAGATCTATTTTAACGAAGCACTAAAAATAACAATTTAATATATTTTTTTCAATATTAGACGACAAACTATTAGACATAACTGAAATAATAAAACTGTGCATGTAACTGGAACAGATTAGTGGATGGGGAATGAAATGTAAATATTAGAACACTACGTGAAGTTAAAAGACTAGGTGTTGGAGATCCGCCTATTCTGAATATCTGATGTTTTCGTATTTCTTGTTGTTGTATTTTAGTTGTGCTGTATATGTTCACTTTCTTTTACATGTCTCTTGTCTTTATCTTTCTTATGTCGTCTTGCTCCTGTTCTCTACAAGTTTTTTTTTCATGTTTTACTTGATATTTTTACCGTTGCCTCTCTTAAGATGTTTTTCCCTTCGTTTTCAATATGTGTCTATACTGGCTTATTCACTTCTTCTTGTAGAGCATAGTCCAGCTTTTGTGATGTTGATGTCCGGCGGTCATACCACTTCTTCGAGGCTCTTCCTAGTGGTAGTTTTGTATTAGGTTTATGTGTGTTTGTTCATTTCGCGATTCTTCCTGGGTCTATTCTGTCGACATGATCTGTTCATTTGCTGCGTCGTACTCGTGTCGATCTACCACATCATGGACTTAAGTTTCTTTTAAAGTATCCTCATTCATGAAATCGAAATATTTTATGATAATATATCTACTGCTCTTAATGACTTTTGTACTCAATTCACAATTTTGTGTGGCGATTTCAACGGAAAAATAGGTGTAAAAGAAGCAGAGCTAGAAACAAATGACCAAGGAGAAACTCTACTAGGATTCCTACTGTAGAATAATTTATTCAACATGAACAGCTTCTTTTACAAAAAGATGCATAGGAGATGGACCTGAGAAAGTCCAATCGACTACATCAGAAGCAATAAAAAACAAATAATTAAATATGTAACAGTACTCAACAAATCATGAATTTGTTGCTTGTGTGAGTCCATTTCAAATAGGTAAAGAAATAATAAATCAGACTTACTCACAATCAATTTAATTTAACTATCCGACGACCGGTTTCGCTTTCTACAATATGCTAAGCATCTTCAGGTCTCGGTACAAAGTTAAACTTTATTTAGTCATTTGTTTAACTTTGTACCGAGACCTGAAGATGCTTTGCATATTGTAGAAAGCGAAACCGGTCGTCGGATAGTTAAATTAAATTGATTGTGAGTAAGTCTGATTTATTATTTCTTTACCTATTAGTACTCAACAAGTTTACCACAAGCAGTGACCACATAATGATATGAGCGAAAGTCCAAATCAACATAAATAAAGAAATGAATATAATGATTAAAAATAAATCTCATGGTATCTGGACACCCCTATTAGATATCAACCAATATTAGGCACATATCAATAATAAGCTACTACTGCATGAAACCTCCCAAAATAATCTCCCCAACCACTTGAATAATTACATCATAAACGCCTTACAAGAAGGTCATCGAGTGCACTGCCCTAAAAGAAAATCAGATAGTAAAATAAGTCCATGTACTGAAACACTGCTGGATTAAAGCCAAATGAGAAGTGATAAGAATGTAGACAGCCATACGCTAAGAGAAATGAATAAAACTGTTTTGAAGGCAATTAGGAGAGATTTAAGTAAATTTAAAACCGATAATATTAAACGCATTATAGGGGAAAATAACAGCCTAAAAGTTTCTCATAGAAAATTAAGAAACAAGCAAAATGAAATAATATCACGTAGAAACGAGTTAATACAGGTCCTCGAATAGTTTTACTATACACTATATGGAAGTAGACGAGAAGATCAAACAGGAATACAAACAATCATTTCAAAGACCATGAATCAAGGTTTTGAACTAATGCTAGAGATAAACGTTGATAAGATTCGACAAGCATTAAGAAAAATGAAAAATTACAAATAACTAGGAGAGGATAGAATTGTAATAGAAACTATCGTAAATGGAGAAGATAAGCTATTAAATAAATTAAGGAAACTGTTTAATCTATGTTTGTAGCAAAGAGAGGTGCCAAAGAATGGAACAATACTATAACCATCCTTTAGCATAAAAACGGAGATAGAACGGACCTACAAAATTATAGACCTATTAGTCTGTTGAACCATCTAGTGAAAAAGTAGATTTCTACCAACCGAGAGGGCAGGCAGGATTGCGTTTAAATTATAGTACCAATGATCACCTCCATACAGTAAAGACACTTATTGAAAAATCTATAGAATAAAACCAACCTCTTGTCCTCACTTTCATGGATTTTCATTAAGCGTTCCAAACGATCGAAATGGACAGCTTTATAGAAGCAATAAATGACAGCAGGATTATCCATAGGTATAGTGAATTTATTTACAATACTTACAAAAATGCCACGATGACTGTTAAAATACACGATACAGCAATAACAACTATAAACAACCGATACAACCAATAAAAATAAAACGTAGGATAAGGCAAGAAGATACATTGTCATTGCATTGAAGATGCATTAAGAGCATTAAAGTATGCCTTTAAGATGGTCAATTGGAACCACAGAGGAGTAACAATACACGGCGCATGACATCAGATAACATGGTCCTTATCACAGAGAATTTAAGAGAAGCCACAGATATGTTAAATAATTAATTGCACGTTGCACGTTCAAAGGTGAATGAACTAGACCAAAACTAAGTTTATGACAAATATAGTCCCCAATAACCATTTAACTATTCAAGACAAAGTGGTAGAACTGGTAAAGAAATATACGTATTTGGACCTAAAGAAATATATCCAACCTCCTTCGTGGAGATGGCACGTGAAGAAGAAGAAGGGTCATGAAATAAGAATCAACAGGGATAACTAAACATGCGAAGTTAAATGATGAATTACTTTTTTCCAATTTGAATGTTCCTTAAATCTACTCTTACATTTTTCAGAATGGTTTTAATTAGATATACTATTGATAGGCATATAAAGTTATTTTCATCATTATTTCTTACTTGTAGCTGTGTGTAAGTGTTTTAATAACGCACACCAGTCGAAATATTATCCATAATCTCTTCTTTTTCAGAAAACCCCAACAGACCCCTTATTACTTTAAAACCTGAACAATCAATAGTATGTTTGGAATACAATCAGAAGGACCCGCACATTCTGGCTAGCGGACAGGTTAATGGACAAGTGGCAATATGGGACATCAGGAAAGGTGCGGAACCAGTTGAACTGAGTATTAGAGAAAACAGCTTTGTAGATCCAGTATTGAATGTTCTTTGGATCAATTCTAAAACCGGGACAGAGTTTTTTAGTTCCTCCAGTGATGGTCAAATAAAATGGTAAGATATTTTTAACATTTAAAGATAAACGATTTAGAGGTATGTTTATAACTCTGGAAAAGACTGAGCACTTGCTTATTACAAGGCAACGGAGAAATCAGTGACTACTGGACAAGTAATAAAACACTACACTTACCACAACAACTTAAATAAAAATTTCAAATAACTGATATTTGAACAAAGTAATTCTTCTTCTTCTTATGGTGCCCTATTCAATTAGTGGATGTTGGCGACAATTCTGACATACTTCTCTTGATCTTGTGTGGCTCTAAAGAGTGCATGGACATCCAGATTTGTCCAATGCCTTATGTTTTTAAGCCATGAGTATTTCTTTCTCCCGATGCCCCGTTTTTCTTCTATCTTCCCTTTCATAATAAGCTTTAAGAATTGGTACTTGGAATTTCGAAATATATGACCCAGACAAGCAGTTTTTCTTCTTTTTACTATTCTCGTTCTATGCCCATTCGATTTAATACTTCGACATTTTGTTGTGTGATCTGTCCAGGTAATTTTAAGTAGTCTTCTAAATATTCACATTTTAAAGGCCTCCAATCGGTTCATCACATTGGCCTTTATGGTCCAGGTTTCTGCACCATATAGCAGAATGTAGCAGTAATCCAGTTCAGATGATCACAAAAGAGTATATCGATGTTCAATTCAAAATTTGTATTAATTTTTTTATTTGTATTCTGTATTCTAGGTGGGACACCAGAAAGCTTTCAGATCCTACAGAAACTCTCATTCTGGACTACGCCAAAGACGAAGAACAACAGGTATCGAACGCTCTTGGTGCCTCTATCTTAGAATATGAAGGAACCATCCCCACTCGCTTTATGGTAGGTACCGAACAAGGCATGATAATATCAGGTAACAGAAAAGGAAAGACAGCTATCGAAAAAATGGCACTGCGAATTCCAAATGCACATCTGGGGCCAATTATGGCTTTGCAAAGAAATCCAGCATTTCCGAAGAATTTTCTTACTGTAGGGGATTGGACGGCGAAAATTTGGTCTGAGGATTGTAGGGAGAGCTGTATAATCTGGACCAGTTTTCACAAAGCTGCTTTAACTGATGGTGCGTGGAGCCCAACAAGGTATACAAACTTTTTAGACCTGTTTATTAAAAAGTTTAGGATTTTATTTTTGATGTTACTTACTCGAATCTAATACATACTATTATCGTATACTGATATTTTAATGTTCTTCTATTTTACAGACTCTCAGTATTCTTCACTACGAGAGCTGATGGGACACTGGATGTTTGGGACATGTTGCAGCAACAGAAGCAAGCAAGTTTAAGTGTTCGTGTATGTGATGAAAAACTCACTTGCCTAAAAGCACACGATCAAGGACGGCTTATAGCTCTTGGAAATCAAAATGGGACAACGTACTTAGTCGAATTAAGTGAGAATCTCTCATTGTCAGTAAAAAACGATAAGATGTTGTTAACATCGGTAAGTGATGTAGAATAACGGTAAGTACATGCTGTTAATACATGCAATTACCGTAACTCCTTAAGATATTAGGAATTTTTTAGTATGTATGTGTGTGTAAAAGATTAAATCTTTTAGCAAAATCTAATATCGCTTTGTTGAATTAAATGGCCAAATATATGGCCTAGGAGGACAAATTCGTTAAACTTCTCGTACTCGAATCGGTATCAAAAGAATGATGACTCATTTTAGCATCCCTGCTTTATCAGACTATCGAGCTGATACAAATTCAAACTTGGAAAGTCCAACGATTGTTTCCTCAAACTTGACTACTCCAGTGGTTGGCGTACAGAGGTGCCACCTGCTTTGGTGGCCATAAACGAAAATGATTTAATAATATTTAATAATAAAATGTGTAAAAGATTAAATCTTTTAGCCAAAGCTGCTATCCCTTTGTTGAATTAAATAGCCAAATATATGGCCTAGGAGGCCAAACTCATTTCAGCATCCTTGCTTCATCAGACACTCGGGTTAGTGCCTAAATAGTATCATAATGTTCAGAAGAACGGTTTTCAAACTTCAAAAGATTAAAACTTATGTTATCCCTGATATATAATATATACCTACAACTCCATGAGCTTTGAGCGTCCTGAAAAATGTAGAAACCATATACTATATACCATTTTACATTTTACAATGTACAAGTAGAATACAACTAGAAGAATAAAACTCAACAAAATCTTTCAAAATAAGAGATTCTTAGACGGAAGTGAAAAATACTTTGTACGACCTGGTATAATTTCTAGTACAATCTACATGGCAGAACTAATAAAATCGACTTTGCTGTCTCATGTTTAGTTAATTGAAGTACAAACACATTTAGAAACTGCTAAAGCATTATGTCGTTTAATATAATAATGTTATTAATTTAATTTTGTACGAAATATTTGTATTATTGTTATACGTTTCAGATGTTGGATAGAGAAGCTCGGAGAGAAAAGATCCTGGAAGCGCGCAACAGAGAACTGCGGTTAAAACAAAGACAGAAGCAACCTGGTCCGAAAGACGCTGTGGATGACGACGAAGACGATGACGGAAAGGTAGGGGTTGAAAGATTTGACAACTTCGTGAAGAACTCAGAGGGTGAATTTTATACTACGATAGAAAAGGAAATGGCCAAAATGAAGGGTGAGTTAATATTTATAAGACATAGGTATTTACGACAAAGGGTCAAAGAAAAGTTAAGTAGGTTCGTACACCTACGTTCGTATACCGAGTTGTCTTATATTTCCTTCTTAATTACTCTCAACGATTCCAAAAATATATGTAAATATTGATATCAATATTTACATATTGATCTATCACTTCCAGTGATAGATCAATATGTAAAAACATCGAGGTATTGAACAAATTTAACACCGGCAGTGACCATAGACTAGTTCGTGCTGATATACGTATTAACGTAAAGAGAGAAAGACGAAAACTATTAACAACAAACCCTTTACCGACGGCAGACATCCTAGCCAGTAATAAAGAGAAATACCAAGAGGAATTAGCACGAAAACTAGTAGCAAATACCTTTGAGCACAAGAATATAGATGAACTAGCTGAGAAAATAACTAAAGACATACAAACAGTCACTAAGAAACTTTGTTGCAGAATAAGAAAACAAAAGGAAGCTAAACTAAAACCGGAAACTCTAGAACAGATAGAGAAAAGAAGAAGAACGAACAGAGATAACCCGGACTATAAAGCGCTCAACAGAAGCGTTAAGAAAAATATTCGAAAAGACCTCAGAGTTTATAGAACAAACCAGATTCTTGAAACCATAGAAAACAATAAGAACATGAAAGTACTAAAAACATCTAAATCCACTGGCAGGAATAAAATCATAAAGATAAAAGACGACCGTGGAACATTTTGCTCGCATAAGGAAGAGATCGTTAGAGAAATCCGAAAATTTTATGAGAAGCTGTATACTTCTACTATTCCGAACCCCGGTATACCAACAAAACATATCTTAAATGTGGGCTCAGAGGACTTCCCTGAAATAATAACATAAGAAATTAGAGCCGCCCTAAAACAAATGAAAAATGGGAAAACACCAGGAGAAGATAAAATTACTTCAGAGATGCTAAAAATGGGAGGCTCTGCATTAGAAGAGGCAATAAGAGCATTACTTAATAAATGCCTATTGGAAGGACAAATACCGAAGACATGGAAAAATGCCGAAGTCATTCTACTCCATAAAAAAGGGGACGCCGCAAATATAGAAAACTACCGACCAATAAGCTTATTGTCACACCTTTACAAACTACTAACCCGAATAATAACAAATAGATTGACAGCTAAACTAGATGCTTACCAACCAGTGGAGCAAGCAGGCTTTCGTAAGGGTTTTAGCACTATCGATCACTTGCAAACAATTCGGACCATTATTGAAAAACAATAGAGTACAATATACCACTACATCTGGCATTTGTCGATTATCACAAAGCATTCGACAGTATCGAGAAATGGGCTTTCTTAACAGCATTGGACGACGCCAGAGTAGATTCAAGATATGCTGCCCTCCTTAAGAATATATACGATTATGCTACTTTTCACGTAAAAATAGATGATGATCTGGAAACTATGAAAATAGACCTTGGCAAAGGTGTAAGACAGGGCGACACCATCTCACCCAAGTTATTTACTTTGGCATTAGAAAATGTTTTCAAACAACTAAATTGGGCCGAAAATGGATTAAAAATAGATGGAGAATATCTTAACCATTTGCGTTTTGCAGACGACATAGTACTAATAAGCACATATATCCATAAACTAAAATCAATGTTACAAGATTTAAATCACAAATCGAATCAAATAGGATTAAAAATGAATCTCGACAAAGCAAAGATATTAAGCAACAGCCTAGAAAACATCACGATAGATAACATCAATATAGAATAGGTAGAACAATATATATATATCTAGGACATGCAATTAAAAACGAAAAGGAAAATCAAACCCTAGAAATTAAAAGAAGGACACAATTATCATGGGCTGCTTTTGGTAAGTTGAGCTTCATTTTAAAAGACAGAAAAATCCCAATTCGCTTAAAACGAAACACCTATGACACTTGTATACTACCAGTTGCAACTTATGGATTGGAAACTATAGCAATAACAAGAAAATGGCAGAACAATTAAGAGTAACTCAACGGGCCATGGAGAGGGCCATGTTAAATATAAGCCGCAGAGACAAAATTCTTAACACCGAAATACGTCGAAGAACTAAAGTAACCGACATCATGGGAAAAATAGCGACATTGAGACGGCAATGGGTAGCACATGTAGCAAGACAAGACACCAACAGATGGTCTCATAAAGTGACATTCTGGAGACTTCGAGAAACAAAAAGAAGCGTGGGAAGACCTAAAAAGAGATGGATAGACGATATAACTGCTGTAGCTGGAAAGCAGTGGATGAGAATTGCAAAATATAGGGAAGCGTGGAAGCAATTGGAGGAGGCCTATGTCGTCCAACATTGGATAAATGAAGTCTGAAGAAGAAGAAGAAGAAGATTCCAAAAACATCTTCTTCATTTTTCGAATATGGAAAACGACTGGTTGTACGGCCCGTACAACCAGGAACAGAATATGTTTGGCTTTTTCTTTTATTTTGTTACATTCTAACGACTGTAAAACCATATTTTAACTCTTTTTTCAATTTACAATGTTTACAACCCTTCTTTACTTTACACACACTTAGTCAAATATCGTTAGATTATATAGAAAGATATAATACCCAAAAAACGTGTTAAACAACAAAATGTATGTCCTCTTTAATGTAGTAATTTAAATATTATTCTTCTTATAGGTGTTGAGGAACCTGAAGACACGCTGGGAGAAGAAGATCAGGATACGGGCGATATCGAAGATGGTGGAGGTAACGAAACAACGACTAATGAAGAAGCTACAAATACTCATTAATGAATAAGTTAGTTTTATTCAGTAGAGTCCTACACGAAATTATAATGGAAAACTGTGTTAAATAAAATAAAGTATAAAATTGGAATCACCACCTGCTTTCATTTTCTTTTTTTTTTAGTTTTTTTTAACGATTTTCACTTAAAATAATTATTTATTTTATGGATCTTGTAGTATTCGAAAACATAAAACAAAAAAAAGTCATAAAAAATAAAAGAAAATAAATGTACATAATATAAAATTGCAATTTATTTTATAAGTCTTTATTAAAATTTCGATAATAAATAAATTAAAGATGTTCATGAATCTATGTTTTTTTTTTGAAATTTTATGTTAAATATTTGTTTCCTTGAAGCAATTACTCGCCGCGTAGATCGCTAATACGGCTCAGCTGGTTACTATTCCATCCGATACGGAAATCCTGCCAAAATATCTCCCAAACGGCAGAAACCACCAACGACCTCCGTGTTCTCCGCCCCTGCCAAAGAGGGCGAGTATTGATTTCTGTCCAAGCGCCAGCGATTGGGGGTGAACCGTGCGATATCGACTGGAATCAGTTGACAAACACCGCCACACTCGGCCAAATCAGTGCGTTTGGCCTCGTCGATTTCCTCGGTGATGATATCGTGACTGGAGTTCCTCGTTCGCCGGAGACGACGTCCGAAAATGTCGTCCATTTCGGCACAAGGGGTAGTTGAACGGGCCTCCGCGGAACTGTCCAAGAGGATCAATGGTTTGGGACTTCGTAGTAGCAAACACCATGCTGCCAAAGGCAGCGTTATGGAAAGAGTCACTAACGTCTTTTGTGGAGGAAGCAATAACTCAGTTGTTGGTACGTATATTTTAGTAGTCTCTGTAACACTAACTAAAAAATTCATTTTCCTACATATGATTATAAAAAAATATTTAAAACAAATACTCTAAATTATTCGTCTTAGATTAAAATAACAAATTTAGCATGATGAGCAAACGTTTCGATAATTGTTCCAATGTGATCCCTTCCCGGTATAAAAGTTCCGATTATTTACAAATATTTTGACAGCTTGTCGACTTTAATAGAATATGTTATAAAAAATCTTAACCTCGCTTTTAAAAGGTCACACAATAAATAAGAAAAAACAGAACATTCGTGTAATTAAAATGTTTGGAAATAAGATGGTGCATGATAATTTTACTTGGAGATATTCTATTTATAGCTATTTTAAACAAAAATTAATATGAATTATATTTTGTGGGAGGTATATACTTATACATATTCAAGGACTTTTATGTTTTGCAATACATTTTAAAGTGTATAGCTAGTTTGTCCGGTATAAACTTCTTAAGAAACATTCTCAATTTTTTATCTCTTATATTTTGTTTTGACATCCGGGAGAAGTAAACGTGTCAAATAAAAGCAACGATAAATAATTAAAAGATAAATTAAAAAAACAAGGAAAGTATGTATAATATCCAAAAAATTATCTGTATACAAATATCTAAAAAATTTGAAACAAATTCAAAATAATAACGGAAAATATAGGTAGGAATAGAGAAACACAAATCAACTTATACACATTAATGAAACAATAAACAACAACAATAAACAACTAATACAAAATAATAAAACCTGAAAAAATAGCAAGACAAATTGAAAAAATATAAAGAATGGGACACAAAGCAAAGGAATTAAAATGTCACTTAAAGACATAAATTTAAATAAACATTTAAACCGAAAAAGGATATCAAGTATATTTGGGAAGGTATTCACTTATATTCGAGAGCCATTATGCTCTGCAATGCGTTCTAAAATGTAGAGCTACGTTGCCCAATATCATCATCATCAACTAGCCTCTAACGTCTACTGCTGAACATAGGCCTCTCGCATACTTTTCCACTTCCGTCCGATTTTGCGCCATCTGAATCCAATTTGTAGTCATTATTTTTATGTCATCTATCCATCTCGTTGGGGTCGATCTCTATTTCTGTTAGCTTGTATTCGGGGTCTCTATTCCAAAGGTCTACATGACCTGAACAGTTGCACTTTAGTGTTGTTATCCTTTCAATAACGTCTGCTACTCCTGATCTTTTGCGTATAGTAGTATTGGGTATTCTATCATGTAGAGAAATCCCTGACATTACTCTCTCCATTGCCCTTTCCGCAACTTGTATTTTACTTACTGTTGTTCTTGTGAGTGTTAGGGTTTCTGCGCCGTAGGTCATCACTGGCAAAATACACTGATTGAATACTTTTCTTTTCAGACACATTGGAATCTTAGACCTAAAAATATCCTTCATCTTTCCAAATGTAGCCCAAACGAGGTTTATTCTTCTTTTCAGCTCAATTGTTTAGTTGTCTCGACTTATTCTGATCTTATGGCCCAAGTATTTATAGAAGTCAACTGGCTCAATGTATTTATCTTCTACTGAGATATTTTTGTTGTGGACTAAATTTGTCATAAATTGTGTTTTTGAAAAATTTATTTTAAGACCAACCCTTTTTGTAGCAGTATGGAGTTCTTGGACCATTATCTGTGCCTAATCAAAGCTGTCTGCAATAAGAACGATATCATCTGCAAATTTAAGATTATTTAAAAATTTTCCATCTACATGGATGCCTTTTTCGTTCCAGTGTATTGTTTTACAAGCGTATTCTAGCAAAGTTGTAAATAATTTAGGAGACATGTCGTCTCCTTGCCGAACGCCTCTTTCAATACAAAGGGTCCCAGTATCTTATTAAGTCTTACACAGGCTGTAGCATGCTGACAGATGTATCTAATGAGGGATAGAGGGATATGTATCGGTGATCTATTCTACATTGTGTTGGAGCATTTCACTTTGATTGACCTTATCAAATGCCTTTTCAAAGTCGACAAAGACAAGTATCAGGGGTCTATTATATTCAATTGTTTTTCCAATTAACGACTTAATGGTTTGCAAAGGATCATTTGTTCCGTATCCAGCTCTAAATCCTTCTTGCTCACAAGGTTGATAGAAGTCTAATGTAGGTCTATGATAAAAGAAATCTTTGCCCAATATAAACTTCTAAAAAAAACATGTTAATGTTTGATCCTTATTTGATCCATATTTTGTTTCATTAAACACGGGAAATCAACATAATTAGACAAACTGCAGATGTAGGAACAATTAGACCAAAAACAAAGAGAGCCTAGATGAAAACAGTACAATTAGATTAAAAATTAGTCAGAAAGAGGAAATATTCATGTAGGATATGTATTACGATTAAGGCGAAGAAAATGGAGATGGCTGGGCCACACACTCCGTAGACCGCCAAATGACATTGCCAGGACAGCGCTGGATTGGAATCCCCAAGGCCGACGGAAAGTAGGCAGACCTAAGGGAACTTGGAGAAGGACAGTACTGGACGAAGGGAGAAAAATGGGAAAATCCTGGCTTGAAATCAAAGCACTAGCCAGAAATAGAGTTCGCTGGAGGCACTTTGTGGAAGCCCTATGTTCCTCTTAGGAATATATATATATATATATATATATATATATATATATATATATATATATATATATATATATATGTATTACCAACATATAAAAATATCTATTAGAGTTTTAACCAATACTTAAAAAGAAAGAAAAAGAATAAATACAGTTTGCTCTTTTTTACACGATTTGCATTTCTTTTTTATAATAGGAAGTTCAAAGATTCCCGTACATATTATCAAATAATGCCTTCGGTAGTGAACTCTTAATATATTATGTAATACAAATTTCTATACTGGCTAGTGGGAAATAAACAAAGACAGTCTAAAACACCACTGAATTATTTCCTACTACCATTAACTAAACAATAATGAATTTACTTTCAGGAGCTCCAGAAAAACCTTCGAGGTTACTGCCTAGTAGAGGTCTGTCAAAAAACGCCAACACCGGAGTATCCATCGGGGGAGGTACCATCGTGACGCCTAGAAGACACCGTCCTTTACCGACGTATCTCTCTTGGGATCAGCTCATGATGGACGACAAATTCCTTCCAAACTTTTTCATGTATTTTAACGCATGCGAACGTTGTGTCCTTGCACAGGTCAGTGATACAAGTGTTTTAAGGTCATTTTTAAATAAAGCTGTTCAAAACTATCGATCCATCGAAAAGTCGGTGTTATTAATTATTGTTAAGGTATAAGTATTAATGATCTTTGTCCTACAAACATATCATAACTTAAAAACAGATCTTTCAAATTTTTCTTTTTTGCTTCTAGATCTCTTAGTCCCGATCATTGAGCAAAAAGACAAAAGAGGGAATCTAATCCTTATGAAAAGGAGACCAAAAAAGTGGCCTCTGATGGCGAACATATCCGGAAATGCGAATGCGCCAAATTTAAATTTTCCGACACTTATTAACAGTAGCTATATAATATTTTTCAGAATGTATCTTGGACGAGAAAGTTTTAATTAAATATTAACGATAATAGTCTAAAATATGACACAATTGTTAAAAAACTTTAATATAAATCACGGTTCGTAGACTTACTAAGATTTCATGTGACACTTGACACAAACAATAACATAACCCAACTAAATTTGATGTCAAACAAAGAGTCTCTCTTTCCTTGTTTAATGTGGCCTCTAAAGATCGCACTTCCTGTCTAACAATATTTTTGCCCCCACTACCTTTACATTCCCTCTTTTGTCTTTTTGCTCGATGGTCCCGATAGTAGGGTAAGAACGTGTACCTCTGGACATTTCACAAAATATTACTTTTGGATTTTTTTTTGTATAACCCATAAGTTACACCATTTTAAAATCAACATGCATTTGTTAAAATACTGTGATCAGGGCCGTTCCTGGCGGGTATGCAATGAATGCCCCGCACGCAGGCGCTAAATTTTAGGGGCGCCAAATATTTGGTTACCGTTACAAAAATATTCTTACTTCTAAAACAAAAAAAAGTCAGTGTTCAGTATTTCCCCGGTAAGCGCTAAAGCAATCACTTCATCCGTTTGCTATTCACTATTATAATACCAAAATTACTAATTAAATTACCACCCTACAATTTTATTAATGTCAGCATACGACGCGCCATCTAATGCCGCACGCCACTCACTTTTAATGTTTTGTGTTGCCGGCATGCCGCCCGCGT